GGGCAGGGGGAGCTCTCGGTGCTGTGGCAGCCTCTGTCTGCACGGGAGCACATTTTTCAGTTGGTGTGGAAAAACCTGTGAAGGAGAGACCTTTGTTGTTAGATTCATTCATGAAGGACAGCATGCTTCCCCAACTGGTTTGGTTTCTGATTTACTTGATGTGTTTATGAGCCTGCTGGGGCTTTAAATCGAAAGTGGTTACATTTAGGTTGGACATCAAGAAACAGTTCTTCCCGCAGAGGGTGGGAGCACTGGGACAGGTTGCCCAGAGAAGCTGTGGATGCCCCATCCCTGGGAGTGTCCAAGGCCAGGCTGGATGAGACTTGGAGCAACCTGGGCTATGGAAGGTGTCCCTGCCCATGGCAGGGGGGGGGGCTGGAGAGGCTTTAAGGTCCCTTCCAACCCAAACCATTCTATGATACTATGATTCTATGAGCCTGCTGGGGCTCAGCAAGATTTGCCTGTCTGCCCATCCCATTTCCCCGCCTCAGGGCTTCATTCCCACAGTGCCAGACCATCTGAATGCCCTCATGAGCCCCACCAGCAGCAATGATTTCCAATTTCTGCTGGGCTCTGTGAGCCGTTTCCTTCCTCTCCCTTGATGCATCCCAGAAGCACTCATGCAAGACACCCTGGGATTATCTCAGGACTGTGTAACAGAGGAGCAGATGTGCCCTGGGCTGCAAGTTTATGCTGCACTGGCAAGAGGCATCTTGGCAAGGGATTGAAAAACTTGCAGCCTAGAGGGGCCCTGGCACAGCCTGTGAATTTACAGCCAGACTGGTGGTATTGGAACCTTGACAAAATACACGTTCAAATCCAGGTGCTCAAAATGAAGAGACTCCTGTGCCTTCCTCCCTCCTTGTTTCCTCTGCTCCCTCTGTGCCCTGCGGACCCTTGGCTGGCCAGTGGCCAGTTTCTTGAGGCATGAGGAAAATCCTATGTATGCATCAAAACCTTCTTTTGAGGAGAGCTGAGATTTCAAGGAGGCAGAAGGCATCCAGGATGCAGCCAGCTGAGCTGAAGGCTACTTCATGCTATTCCTTCCCCTCATAGTTTAAATCTGCATTCTCATTTCTTTCCTAAATTTCTTCAAGGACAGCTCAATCCTTTCAGCTCATGAAGATTTACATTTACCAGAGGAGATTATTAAAGGAGTCAAGCTCATAAATGCAATTAAAATTCCAAGCTTAATCCCAAGGTTTCTTATGAAAGATCAGCCTGCTCTCTTCCATTCATTCCCAAATCCCATTCTTTACTTTTTTATTTCCAGTTTGTCCTTTGGAAACTAGGAATCCTGAGCACTGAAGTAATCCAAATGTATCTACATGTGATAAGAACAATACATTTTGCTTCTTGGCACAGGCAGCCTTGAGACGAATTTTGATAGTGCAAAATTGCCCCAGCCACCAAGGGAAGGACTTGGCTCTCCGTATCCCAGCACCCACAGACAGACCTGTCATTGTAAGAGCATAGCTCAGCTCAGTTCAGCAAATTTTCGTAGGAATGAAATGTTAGTGGTGTAGTAGCAACTTACCTTGGCTGTGAAGGCTCTGAAGGAGGAGTGGACCTGAGTGAATGAGCTGCTCTCCCATCTGAGAACTTTTATACGGTTCCTAACTCTCTTCCTGAAAATGCAATAAGCCCCTGGGGAAAAATGACCAATGTATTTACAAAACAGCCACACCTCTAATTATCCACCACCTTCAAAAGCTTATTCAACCCTGTTTCTTTGATTGACTTGTCATACAGTAGATTGTCTTCCTTGTGTTACACAGCTTTAATTGCCACCCTGCCCCACTCAGGTTGTAATGCACGAAGAGTGAAAACCGTGTGGGTGGCTGGACTGTCTCACCATCATGCCAGGATGAGTTTTAGATTGCAAAATGGATGGCAAAGGTGGCGCTTTTTTTTGGTTTCTATCCTCCTGAAACCTCTCGCCCAAAGTCTGACAGGGAGGAGAGGTCATGATGCCTGGTCACCTCTATCTGCTCTTGGCAGGACCAGGGCCTTACGCAGTGGATGAGAGCCACCACTTCTAGGTCCTCAGCATAAAAAAATATGGCAAGTTTTTAGAAATCCCTCATCACATGTCCTCTGAAGGCATCTTTAAGGTTGTCTTCACCCTGTAAGACATCTGCATGTGCCAGTAGCTTAGCAGCTGAGGGTCCCCTCTTGTTCTCCTCTCTGATTGTGTCATTTCCCAGAGCGATAAAACCAGGATAATGAAGCCTGTGGCCATTGTGGCAGGTTCCAGGAGCTACGACTGGAAAGGGACCAGTCAAAGCCAGGTAGTGGTACAGGCCACTTTTGGAAGTCTTGGCTTATACCTGTGAAAACCCCAAAAACGTAATGTGGTTTCTCTACCTGAGTCCAATGACTTTATGTCTGATTTTATAGCCATTTCACTGATATTGACATAGTTACCACCAATTTTCATTGCTGACATTTTTCCCAGCCAATACCAAAAAGCCCTGAACAGAATTACTCTTTTAAAATTTCTGTACTTCTAATATTTTAATTTAGCTTCATTTGCCAGCCTCTGAAGCTGCCATTGTCCGTGATGGGAAACGCGTGCCTACAGAAACCGCTTGGGCAAACCTCACATTCATGAGTAAGTTGTGAGTAAAGTGCTAGCTCAGAGGAGATGTACCCCAGCTCACCACGCATCTCCAGCTCACCCAGATCTTCCCTGGGGTGGGACGGGTGCACCCTGGGTGCAAAGCAGCAGATGGCTGCAAGCCTGGGGCACTCTCCCAGCCCTGGTACAATCAGCTGTGCAACCATGGCTTTGCAACAGCCTCCTTTTCTTCTTTTTCCACCCATTAACAGCTTGACTGTGCAATTCCAGCAGGGCTCACTATGTTTTTCCTCATTTTGAGTCTTAACTCCCTCTGCAAACATGGGAGTCACAACGTTTTGTTGGGCAGAGCTCAACCAAACACCTGAAGCAAGCGGGTGTCTCCCACTTGGTATCTCTAAACAGTTTCTTTAGTTTCTATCCAGAGGCGCCAGTTCCTGACTTTCATCCAGAAGCCAGATTCGTGTTTACCATTCGGCCTGCCTGTTTACCAACAGCCAAAGCAGAGGGCCCATGGCTTTGGCAAGCACCAACACGTTCGTGGACAAGACTCCTGCATTATCATGGTTCGTCAGCCATGCAGGATGACTCGTTCTTCCTCTGTTGCTCAATGAGAGGGAAGGAAATCTGCATGTGCAAGTGCACATGAGTGTGCCCACGTGCAAAATCCAGCCCCTGCCTGCTCCCATCCTCATGCTGGAGGTGAGCTGCAGCTGCTCCAGTGTGCAGAGAGGGGCAGTGAGATGCAGCTCTGGATGCAAGAGCATCCTCCCTCTCCCCTGGGTCTGTCATACTATTATATCATCTAGCTCGGTTAAGCTTGTGGAGTGCTTTTTGATACAAGCCTTGAAGAACCAGCCAGGTGGGAGAGAGAATATGAAATGGAATTTTAAAGTGTTTTCTGTTTTCTTTTATTTGGGGGGTGGACACTGAAATTTTGGGATAGTTTTTGGTCAGTCAAATAGACGAGAAGTTTTTCAATACTCCAGGTTCTAATTGGTTTTCTGGAAGTCTCTTGGAAGTTGTTTGAGCTTTCTGAGTTCTTTTGCTACCTTTGATGCTACCAGATGAAGTAGGGAAAATAACAGAAACCAATAATGAAGTGGTAGATTTTAGAAAGATAGGCAGATGCAAATAAATGATATTGCTGTCTAATTTTGGAGTGGAATTTAATATGGCTGGTAACAAACACCTGTGTAATGTTCCCTGAACCACAGTCACAGCATTTTACAGAGTGAAACATACATGTTGTGGCACCAAATACAGGGTTAGAGCTCCAAGGACTTTGGTTTTTATAAGTTGTGGTATTTTACAAACATCAGGCCAAAGTTTTCTGAATTTTTATTTAGGTGAAAGGGACAAAATCCCCAGAGGCAGGTGAAAGCATCAATGGTAAAAATATTTTAGAATGTAATATTATATGATTTTGACTCTCTTTTAAATGGGCACAGATCTATGGGTGTTTCGGCCCTTCATTACCAATATTTGAAGGAGTCAAAAAGCAACATAAACACTAAATGTTTGGCAAATGCCACGTAAAACCCGGCACTGAATATTCAAGCCTCCCACACACTGCTCCACCAGCACAGCACAGAGGAACCATCTTCTCCTTGTGCCTAATTTAGGGTCTGATCCTATCAAAAAATGTCATGAAGCAGGTTACTGTCAGGAAGCAAATGAGCTTGTTCGGGTTGCCTCAATCCACTGGTGCAAGCATAAGGTTTACGTGTTCCTGCTTACAACATCACATGCAATCTCTCTGAGACAGGAGGCTGGTGTGTAATTGCTTCCAAGTAAACAACCTTGCACTCCCAAGGTCACCCTGTAAATAATAATCAGTTGGAAATCACCGGGGAGTTTTGTCTATCTCCTTAACATAACTCACAGAGTACGGCCTTCATACCCATGCAGAGGGTCTCGGCAGGGCACAGCAGTTCCATTTGATGGGAACAGCATGGGGGAAGCTCTGACTTCAGAAAAAGCAAAATAAAGAACCTTCTCTTGCTGTTGAAAATGATGTATTTTAATTCTATTAAAATAAATATTACATTTGTTTATCATTGTTAAATATATGTCAAAAATGTTGGAAGATGGATTTTGTGCTGTGAAGTAGACTCCCTCAGTATCTGTATTTTGAGTGAAGGAACCAGAAATTAAAGAAATCATTCAGATACTGGAATTACCCTCTGACTATGAAGTTTTATTTTCCAACTCCTGAGCAAAAGGAGATGGAGAGAAGAATCTTTTCCCATCACCAAAGCATGAATCACTTTTCCCATCAGTGCTTGCAGCAATGTTGCTAGCACAGCCCAACACAAGGAACACAAAGCTCCCTGACCGTAACGGCATGGTCAGGGAAAAGCCGCATTGTGGCATATCCAGAACACTTGTGCTTGAGCAGGGGTGGCTGCTGGGCCACTCACTTCTTCTGGATGGGAGGCCAGTGGCTGGTCTGTTTGCTCTGGTGGTTCTTGATGTTGGGAATGACCACAGGACATTTCTGCTGTATGGCCTGGGAGGATTGCCCGATGCCATAGCCCGATCCGCCACTACAGTACCCTGATCCACCACTGCCCCAGCCTGTTGTTAAGGCCTTTTCTCTCGGTGATGCATCGTATCCATATCCAGAGCCTCCACCCTCAGTGGTGCCCAGGCTCCCACTGTGGCAGCTGGATCCTCCACCACGCCCTGAGATGATGCTGATGTTCTGGCCTGAGTCCTCACTGCTGCACCCTATTTCTCCCTCAGTGCCGTAGACTGGGACTGTCCCCCCTGCCATGCCCCAGCCAGATGTCCCCCCGCTGTCACCAGTTATTACAACAGATCCATCACCGCCACATCTGTACCCCCCTGAAACTCTGCAAGTGGATGATGCTGGCATGGGCTGGCAGGGTGAAGCTCCTCGGCTGTAGATGACTGAGCCTTCCCTACCACAGAAGAAGGAGCCATGTCCCCGGAGGCTTGAGAAGCCCCCGCCGCTGCTGCAGTATCTTGTGTGGTGCGAGGAGATCTCATTGCTGTAGCACCTATTCCGCCGGGCACATCTTAACCGGAGACAGTGGAAAATCTGAAAGAGGAAAAAAAAAACCCCAAAAAAACCCCACCACACCTCAAACCTGCACCATTTTGCTTCATTTTTGCACCATGGCAGGTTTCACGTAGTGTGGTTAGAAAAGGCTTGCCAGGTCCTGGGGCAGCGCCAGGCTTCAAAAATGAGTACTGCCTAGCTCTTCTCCAAATCCAAGACTGTTTTGACCCTTACTGGGACAACTTCTTTCTTTCTTATCTCCAGGGTTTATTTCCAAACCTGAGAATATTCTTTTAACATCTAATAACTGACATGGTTTTCCCCACTCATCTTCATGACTGTAACCACAGAGCTATAAAAACAGCAAGGATTATCCTTGCTTCTGTTTTTAAACTGTTGCAAGATGATGTTGCTTGCTGTATTATTGCCATCATTGTCTGGCATGCCCAAAGGTCTTTTACATAAGGTAATTGGCACAGCCATAGAGGTATGTAACCATTAAGAAGTACAGCATAGGCTTATTACTAAATAATATCAAAAATGTGTCCACACATTTCAAACACGTTCAAAACTGCAAAGACTATGCAGTCACCATGTCGTGGTCTCACTACGGACTCATCTGGGTTTTTAGCCTGCTCAGTCCTATGGCTCCTAGTCTAGTGACCTGACTTCATCTTGCTTCCTATTGATCTGATCCGCACATAACAGACTCCGAGAACTTTGCTATGGATGCTCAGACAGCGTGGGTACTGCTGTGAGCACATGCCAAGGTCTAAAATGAGTCTATCTCCCATGAATATGAAATAATGAAGTCTCACAAAAGAGCAGACTTACCTTCCTCATCCATTGGAAACACATTTAGAAGATAAAAGTCGACTGAACGAGGAGCTTTAACAGACAGGAACTTTTATATGGCGTTTAACATATATGGGAAGTGAGACACACTAAGGAATGGCAAGGATTTATTTACCAATCAAACTCTGATTTCAGTGTTTGTTTGACTCATGACATCTGATCAATATCTTTCCTTCAAGCTGCTTGTTGTGTTGCATGCGGCAATAATTGCTACTTCTGCTTAATGACCCTATTCCTGTGCTCCTGCCCTGAGCTACGGAGGACCGCTTCAGCCCCCAGTGAGGTGGTGACACTGGGGGAGGTGTGTGGGAGCATGGGTGTAGGGGAAATCGGAGCAAGAGGATTAGTGAGTGTGGAGCAGAGTGTGGTGGTGGCCAGGTCCTGCTCAGGGAAGGGGCTGAACCACACATCAGTGAGTGTGGTTCAGCAATGTGACAGTGCTAGTGGTCCGGGGCATTGCTGTGAGGGTAGGTGTGATCAGCGGGTACCCAGGAGGGGGGAAGGCAAGCGCTCAGAAATAACCCGATGGCCACACGGCATGTTGATCCTTCCAGCATCTCACTGCTAGCTCCAGTGGGAGATTTTCTGAGGAAGATGTTAGGATATGAACCAAAAGCTTGTCAAAAGTGAAGCGCCCGGCTCAGGTATTTTTCAAGGGTGTTAAAGGTGCTGTGAGAAAGCTCAGGGGCTCTGGAGAGAATTGTTGAGGTGTCAGTGTCCTAACACTTAAACCCACTGTGGCTGGATTACTCCTCTAATGAAGGACTATTCCTCCAAATGCCTTCCTTCTGCATTTTCATGTGTTGTGTCCTCTCTCTGGCTTGGAAAGCACCAGGGACTCCAGGGAGACTGGTCTGGAGGGCTGAAGGGGATGTGAGCTGTGGCCATGGTGGTAGTGCTGCCTGGCATGACACCCACGCTGCAGCCTGGCGTGCTCCGGCTCAGCCCTGCAGCACAGCTCTTGCAGGCTGGATGGTTTGTGCAGCTCTGAGCAGTTTTTCCATGGGGACAGTGAGACCCAGCTTTGGGAAAAAGCCACATCTACCAGGCAGAAAGCAGTGCACAGGGGTGATGGTGCTGCCCTTGGCATTTCAAAGCAGATTTCAAAATCTTGCTAGGACAAGGAGGGATTTAAGGCCTGGAGGCATGATTTGGAATGTGTTGAAATGCCTGAGGGATTTGTTGCTGGTTTTATTTCCTTCTGCCTGGCCCAGGGCTGATGTGACTGACAATGTGTGAGGTTTACCCTCTGGGTAGAGATGCTCTGAGGTTTGCAAAGCTGTGAGGGAAGGGGGTGGATGGCAGGGACGGGGATGTCAGTATCGGCCACCCTGGGCAGCAACAGCTGTGCCTGAGGGTCGACCCCAATCCCTGCTCTTCAGGACTGAGCATGATGGGCTTGGTCATGTCCCCCAGCAGCACTTTGTTGCTCCACAGACATGGCCATTGGGTGATGGTACCTCAGAGAACTTACAGCCATGAGCTGGTATGGCTGTACTCTGCACAGTCACCAAAGGGATGGTTGGATGCTGTGGGTGCTTAATGTTTTAGACAGTGCTATTACTCTACCATGGAGCCCAGCGGGAAAATGAAGGTGCAGACTCTCTGGGGTTATAAACTAGGTGTCTTTAGAGCTGTATCTACAGCAATACACTATCAAACCCATTATAGTCTTTACAGAGAGGAGTGAAATATCTCATCAGATAGACTTTGAGATTCCAAGAACGTAAGATGGTAGTTGACAACAAAAAAACCCCCACAAACTCCAAAAAAGGCAGCTTAGAGATATCATTGCATTTATTAGATATAAAATATGTTCTTTGGAAAAGCAGGAGACTTATCAAAGTCATCCCAACACCACCAGCAGGTCACAAGTCCGTTCTCAGCAAAAGGGTGTAACATCAAGAGATTAGAAGAGACGTTGAGAAGAAACAGGCCGACGACAGTCAGGTGTGGAGGGAAAGGGTGACATGGCAGTGGCAGGGCTGGTCTTGATGAGATTAGATATAAAATATGTTCTTTGGAAAAGCAGGAGACTTATCAAAGTCATCCCAACACCACCAGCAGGTCACAAGTCCGTTCTCAGCAAAAGGGTGTAACATCAAGAGATTAGAAGAGACGTTGAGAAGAAACAGGCCGACGACAGTCAGGTGTGGAGGGAAAGGGTGACATGGCAGTGGCAGGGCTGGTCTTGATGAGTGCCAAGGCTGCCTGTGGTTGTTACTTCTGGTGGCTGGGGGGCCAGTGGCAGACCTGCTTGGTCTGGTGGGACTCAATATTGGGGATGACAATAGGGCATTTCTGCTGTGTAGACTGGCAGGACCCTCCACTGCCCCCTCCAGAGCCGATGATGATGGTGTGGCCTGAGGGACCACCACCGCAG